CCTATAAAACTGCACTGTGATATTGATCTACGTGAACCCACACAAAGACTATATTTCAATATATGAAGTCTCAACGATAGACCAATGCATAGAACGACTTGGCGTGGGTAGCGAGCTGGGAATTGATAAACGAATGAGTGGATGGTGTTTTATACACAGACAGCAATATTCGATGGATATTTATCATGGTAAATAACTGAGTTAGGGCAGACAAACAAAAAGCAGTGGTTGAATGCATGAGGAACGATCAATGCCGTCGGGGTGCAATAGCAAACAATCAGCCATATGGGTCACATCGTGACCATTAGACTCTCGACTCTGACGGTGCTGATGGTTTCTGCCCCAGGATCCCTACAGGTGTAATGTTGCAAAGGTACGGGCAAGAGACGGACAAATTACCCGTCTGAGCATGTTGAATCTAGCATTACATGCCAACAAAACACATATTATGTTTTCACACTATATCCGATTTGCCGCCATTCTATGCCAAGATTGATTCAGAATGTGTAGAATTAGTCATTTATGTGTGTTTATATTGCTTGGTATTGGCTTTGGTGAATGTAATTCCCCTTAGACACAATGAGGAAGGCATATTCAATCTTATGAAGAAATTATACATTATGCATATTTTCATACTAAAATCGATAGGCGCGAGTGTTTCAGCTTGCCCTTTTCGAACGACCGGTGTAATCACTGATTTTCAGTGATCCATTCATATATTTTGCCGTTTAGGGCCCAATGGAATCTGTTTCAGAGATTTGTTGTTCTCTTGTGTTGACTTTTTTTATATTTAGTTTTCAGTGTTGTATAATTACAATATATTTTTACCATTGAACTAATTTGGTGGGTGGGTCTACAAAGAGTAAGAGCCCACAGTATCGACAAGAGAGTATAGTTCTTGATATTACTTTGAAACGTAAGGCCAAACCAGAAACGGACTCCGCTTAATCAGACTTAGAATGCAATTTCTTGAATTTGAAATTTGAAAACAAGGGAATTTCGTCCTTAAATTTAAGTTACATTCTCAGGCAAAGATCAGTTGCCAAACATGTCCCACAATATTTCAAATTCAAGGAACCACCAACAATTTCATTTTCCTATATTTCCAATTTCATCTTGGTTGTTCAATTATAGGAAAGTGTTGCAGAAGTGGATTTGGCAGCTAATATGTAAATTCCACTACTTGTGTCTGCCAAGAGGCAGTATGCCGCCACCAACCTGTAGGTCATATAATCACAGGTGACGGCTCTGTTGCTCTATGTGAGGGTGGGGCATTTAGGCAAGAAGTAAGCATCCCCATAGGCACCAATTGACTCCCCTTCTTGCTGATATGTTTCTCTATGTATGTGAATCGGAATTTCTGCTCGGATTGGCAAAGTCACAACAAGGTAATTTGACCTCGAAGTTTAACTTATGTTTTAGGTATATCGATGATCTGATATCAAAATGATTCAAAAACCATGAAATAGCCAATCCCTTCCTCTGATTTATCCACCTGAACTAGAAATAAAGGAGACAAGTGAGACCGCCTCATCTATTTCATATTTAGATCTATGCATAAAGATGCAGAGTGACAAAATACTCTCCACAAGAGCATATGACAGGAGAGATGACTTCAACTTTCCCTTTATGTCGAGCAATATTCCTTCAGCTCCAGCCCTCGGTGTCTATATTTCACAACTTTTGAGGCACAATCGACATGATCGTTCTACCAATATTTAAAAATCGTCATATGATTAAGGCAGACGCTGTTTGATTTAGGTTACAACATTCAAGGTCACAGTAAAGCTTTCAAACGTTTTATGGTAGTCATGTGGAGGACATTTCCAAATTTGACGCATCAGTGACAAAAGTTATCTCATATGCAATTCCTTATTTTGAATTGTACCATATGTATCCGTGTGGGTTTTTTTCAGGTGAACAATGGCCTTGCATTTACAAATGTTTGTGACGAGTATCACCAGTGGGGAACAATATGCTCACCTGGTATGATCACTGTCTGATAGTAATTCATTAACATGTGCACTTGATAGAGTCGGAATCGTACAGTCGAGATTTCTTATGAACATGGTAAGGGTTTTGTCGCTTTTATTGTTATAAGATCAATTTTTAGTATTCAGCGAATATGTATTGAGTAACGGATTATGTGTATGTGGAATCGGTCGATTTTTGTAACTGTTGACAGCAACGACTGAGACACGGGAGAGGTCATAAGGTGCAATGTGCATGTCAGTTGTATGAGTAATCCACTGGATGACTATACAACAACCACTCGTGTGCCTCTGTTTCTTGTTTCTGTTCCGTGCATTCTTCACAATCTCGTCACAGTCATCCTGATGTTTTTGAAGGAAGTTATAGCATCTTGTATGATAAGAACAAACTCTATACATGTTGGACATATATAGGATTGTTGGAAACAATGAATGATGGCATGTGTTCATTAAGTATGACAGGTATTTGCTGTGTGACATCCAGCCACAGCCACTAATACGTGCTCCCGTGAAACAATTAGAACGAGTTCTAGCCTATTTTGATAACGGACATGTACGCAAACAATCACAGTCTCGTTGCTGAATAGATAATAATTATTTAATGTGATGTTTACACGATATACGGCTTTTCCATTGGACGAGAGGTCGGTCACATGACCGCAAAAGTGAAGTTCATAACCGAAAGAACGACACATTTTGACGTTCATATTTTTTTACGTGACTGTTTTCTTGAAATGATGTAAACGCTGACGAACTACTCCCACATTCTAGGGGAAACCCTTGGGAATTCCCAAGCATGAATAAATATGTTTTTTCTGATCATTTAGACCCTTTAATTTTGAACTTAGAGTTTAAGCATACGCTAGGATAAGTCAGGGTTTAACCTCTGACTCGTGTCACCTCTCATTTTGAGGAACTACTTCATTGCGCGATACAGCTGGTTGGTGTACGGCTGTCAGCGCAAACATGAAGTCACGCGTACTCATTATAAAAAAAAATGGTGTACGATCTGACGATAAAATCACTTTTTATATACGTTTTGTATTGAATATTAATCTTGGTCTCCCTATCAATGGATTGTTATCTGGTTATCTCTTTACATTCCTACTTCTCGCCCAATGATGGTTTATATATTCACGTGCATAATACTAGCATTACTTGCTGTCATTTTGATGAAAACACAATGAAGAAAATCGTGCCACGTTGTCAGATCATTTACACCAATACATCGTTCATTGTCGTGCACGGATGAAGAATGAAATGAACACACATACTATATTACTCATGGTTTGATACTTCTCATATGGGTCTCACATTTTGTAATAATACATTTCTTCATGAAGTTATGACTTGCTTTTTGTCTTAATCCGGGGTTATAATTGATTACACTCTGTCTTCACCCTCGCACACTGATTCATCCGCTACTGTACACGTATTCCCTCCTATTTCCAATCATATCAATATAGGGACAGTATACATATACATCCACCAAAGTTAATACATTTTGGGTTTTTTTCCTCTCCCTATCAGTCTATCCAATGTGCTTTGCAGTGAACAGGCGAAAGGAGAATAAGTGAGCAAGTGACTATTGGTTAATGTCACCAGTATTATAGCTAGGCTGCTATTAGGGATAATTCGTGAATATGTTTCATGTTCTTGGATGCTGAGAGTGAATAGTAGTCGACAAATGATGTGGTTTAACACTGATTGTATTATTTACCTAAACATCGTCCCCATGAGTCGCGAACTGAAAGTCTAAGAGATATCATAAACATGTGCAAAGTGAAAAATTGTATTTGTCTGGCGAAATGGCCTGAAATTATCGTTACTTCCCCAAAAGAAGGAAAATAAATTTCTTGACTCATAGGGAGGACGTTGATTGTAAAGAAAAAATGAGTGATAGTGTTTGTTCACCGTGATCGTAAACTACAAAATTTATTACATTCAAGATGAAATTCTTGTTCCAGCTTTTTTATTTCAAATGCCTTTGTGAAATTTAGTGATATTTAGGTATACAACAAACAACAGACTCTCACATGTTGAATGTTTTCATGTTACTTCTCAAAAGTATGCGTGTCACTATCGAGTATCTTGATTCGAGCCGAATCTGACCCAAGATAGCCCTAGATTCACATAGCACATGATTACGCTTGCCTGCAAGTGAAGGATGTTTGGCCTTAGGTTTTCATATGTTTAGCATGTGAGTTCGGTATCATAACATATCTTGGTGATATATTTGCAGTGAGTATATGTGCATGCAGGAAGTAAGAGTGCCAACAAGAGTGCCATTAGAAATTCAGAATAACCATTTGGACGATGGTTGTTTGATAAAAAAAAAGTCTATACTCTTAAGGGGCCAACAATTTAATCTTCGGATGGGTAGAGGCTGGGAAAAAAAATTAGTCGACGAGGTAAATGTTATTTGTTTATCTATTTATTTTGGGTGACAACAATAGACCTTGACTATGAAACGTATCTAAATCCTTTTGCAGTGAACAGTAATTGTCCTATTCTGTAATGCTAGCTTCGACGTCGGAAAGTATAGTTCTTTCTCTATATGTTCCTTGGACAGGTAGGCCATGATTGTCCAGATATGGACCGAATCTCACACGGCATGAGATGGCGTAACCATGATAAGCTAGAAAACTAGGAATGACATGTGACTTTGTTGTGATGTTAGCTTATCCCCTCCTCAGAATATTGGCTCCTCAGAATATCAGCCTGCAGATGATAATCATATAATTTCTTCAGTGTATACTTTCGAAACCTAATATAAACAATTTCAATATCAGAATTACTTGATACCTGAACATTCTAGCGTTTGAACATTCTAGCATCGCAAAATTGGCGTCATAGTGCTCCACATTGAACGAAAAAGGAGGAATGTTTCTATATGAAGTAGCAATCTTATTTAACAACTCGATTAGATTAAACTTCATCGTAATAAAGATATCGTAACATCATACCCATCTTACAAAGATTTACCCTGAATTAATGTTGTAGCCACGAGCATTTATTATATATTCACTCCTAGCTATGACAAAAGCTGAAATTAGGGCGAAAATAGATAAAACTGCATCAGTGTTATAAAAGCTTTATGATTAATGATGTAGAACCGATGCTATGAAAGAGGGTGTATGACAAAGAATAAAAAGTGTTTCATCGTTGAAATTTATTGCTTCTCAGCAGATAATGTAAAACAAACAATGGAACTATACTATTTGCACTGTAACCATTTACAGGATTATTTACATGAAAACCAAACATAATATATTGCAACATAATGATGACCATAATATTCATAAAATGGAATAACTATACATTGTATAACATTTAATGAAAACTAAACGGATAAAGAATGGTTTGCGGAAAGTAACCACTTTAGGCCTCAGCAACATTTCAACGACCAGTGATTGAACATCTGAACGATGGCACACAATCGGCCAGATTCATCACGTCGCGAATGATCCCATTTTTTGGCGTTGATAAGCACGAGGTACCGGAACCGGAACATAAACAAATGAAAGTAGATATGAATATGAACGTTCAAGAGAATAAGCAGTGGTTAGTCTGGGAGTAAGAATCCACATTGAAGATATTTTAATGTTGAAAACGGTTTCTTGATTCAAGCTTTGATGGCGTGAATACTTCATTTCTTGTTGACAAATTTCCGCTTCAACTTAACAATATTCAAATATAATTAATTATATAAATTATATAATTAAGGTGAACTTTTATCCTCAACATTATTAGTGGCAAGATATTTCACACATACATTTGACAGATCACAACTTTCTTCAATAAATATAATTGAAGCAGTCTTTCTGGTCAATCGCTCGATTTGTTCCGACATAACCATATCAGCGACACCTACTTCCTGACTACTCTGATACTGTGACTCATTGTCACTCCCAGCTGATGTTCCTCCCAACAACAGCAAGGACGAGGCTCTAACAACACCACCACCCACATCAGCATCCGGAGCTGTCAGTTCGGGTTCACTCACTGCTCTTGTCTCTGACAAAGAAGACGATTTTCTTTGACATCGCTGGCCATCTGTCAAAAGGTTCCTTGTTGCAAGTCTTCTGTGGGGGATCTCTGTGAGAGGTAATGCAGGTTGATCTGCATGTTCAGGTTGCGGGGGACTTGTCTGACCAGACTCGTGATTATCACCTATTTCCCAGTACCTGTGTGCCAGGCTGTCACTGTACTCGCTGAGGGTGGTGCCGTTTGTGCCGCTACCAAGGGTTCTATTCCTGAAATAAAATGAAATTATGTTTAAGCTTTAGAAGATACATTATAGATGGGAAAACGGTACTGTACCATAAAGTGTTGCAGTACGGTTTAAGAAGCGTGACATTTTTAGGTAACATGAGAAGTTTTGTTCAAATACGTCAAAAGTGGTACAAATATCCTCGAGACAGTTCGGTATACTAGTGTCACAATGTAGCACAAATAAGAGGATTTCTAAAAGTCAGACTTCACGTTGACATTGGCATGTACTTACACAGTAGTGATGTACCGACTGAAACCTTTTTTCATCTACAGTAAACTACGTTTACAACGAACACGCTTATAACGAACTGGCGGATATAACGAACTGTTTTTGAGTCCCGGCCATTTGCTGTATATATGCTGTATGTATGCTACTACAATTTGTGGTCTCTTTGAGTTCGTTATAACCATAGTTTACCGTAACACTTACCCCTTCTGCGTGTGTCTCCAAAACGCAATGATCAATGCCAGCACAATGACTACAGCAACTGTTCCAGTAGTAATGGCCACGGTGTGGTCAGTTTTACCTGAAAAAAAACCACATTATTATTTCAGTGAAAAGAGTGAGTGAGTGAGTGAGTTGGGTTTAACGCCGTTTAACAGTATTCCAGTTATATCACGGCGTGTCAGCTTAATGTGGGACGAAAGCCCGAAGTGATGCGGGTCTCAGAGGTTTACCACTTCGGTGAAACCCACGAGCACGGGTATGGTGCTGACAAACCTAGAAACATAATCGGGGCGAAACGGGATTCGAACCCACAAGGTTTCTGGCGTGTCCAAGGGACGCAACTATGCACAGCGAATCGCGGCGTGTTAGACGACTGGGCCACCCGTGACCCCTCAGTGAAAAGAGGTGAGGTGAAATGGGGTCGCGTCCAAGATTATTGCACTTATATAGCGACGTGCATGTTCGTGTGTGGGTGCTTGTACTAGTCCGGACTGATGCTGATTTATAGTGCTAGCTCACTGAGATACCATGCCGCAGTTTAACATGAATACCCCACTCAGACACAGTATACTGACTCCGAGCCGACCAGTCCTTGTTTTAGCCCCTTAATGCCGAGCGCCAGACAGGGTAACAACAAGTACCATCTTTTAACGTCTTTTAGTATGACGCAGTCGGGGGTCGAACCCCGGACCACTACCACTAGACCACGGAGGCGGTCCAATGAAAAGAAATAATTGTTACCATAAGAGTCCCCCACGAGAGAAAATGGCACGAGTGTCTTAACCAGCTTACTTTCCCCCCGTATGTCCATATGTTTATTTATTTATTTGTCAAAAATATTGTATCAGATTTAAGTCCAAGCATACTAACGTTTTCGACAAGGTGTTCTGTAACAGGTGTTCTCTGAACACGGAGAACATATTTCATCGCAGTATGTCCTGCTGAATCCCTCGGCGCACTCCAAACACAGTCCAGTTTCCTTGTGACATCCTTCACAGCTGACAGGGCATTGGATCGAACAGTCGCGTCCATAGTAACCACTGTTTGGGCATGCGCCAATACATATGTCCCCATAGCGCTCACACTGTGTACAGTTAGACGGGCATGTGTCATCGCACAACTCTCCTCTCAATCCCAGTTTACAACTAATACATTTCCCAGTGTCTTTATCACATGTATCACATTTATCAAAACAGGGGATGTTACAAGCCTGTCCAAAGTAGTTCTTGTTGATACATGGTGTATTACATGTCTTACTGAAATAGTTAAACTCGACGCAGTTTGCAGGACATATCATTTTACATGTTGGACTATGGCAGTCTTCCCCTTTACAAGGTGTGCACTGATCACCGCACCCAGCCCGGCAGTGCTGTTCAGCACACTGGACACACAATCCTGTCTCCTTGACGCATTCACGACATTGTACCGGGCACTGAAGAGTACAATCATTTCCGTGGTAGTTCCATCTGTGACATTGTCCTATACAGTTCACACCGTGCTGCTGGCATTCTGTACATTGTGATGGGCATGAATCGTTACAGTACTTCCCTCTGTAACCTGGCTCACAGCTGACACAGTACTTCCCCGTGTAACCTGTCTCACAGCTGCCACACTCCCCCGTGATCCTATTACATCCATCTGTACAGCTGGAGGAACAAGGTGTTCTACAGTGTGGACCGTAATACCGGGGATTCAGACACGGTCCTGTACAACCATCACCATAACGTTCACACTGTGTACAGGGTGTAGGACAGGGCGCACCACAGTTATATCCCTTCTTGCCGGCCACACATCCCTCTGTACACACAACACGGGTGTTGTCCCTCTTGCAGCGAGAGTTGAGACAGGTGTCTGGACAGTCATGTTCACACTGTTTTCCATAGAACCTGGAGTCCCGACACTGGAGACACTGTCCAGATGACGTCTCACTGACACAGCGAGGTAGACACACACCGTCAACACAGGTCATTCTGTTACCGTCACAGTTGCTACAAGGTGTGCTTGTAGGGGAAACTGTCGATTGAGAAAGGAACAAAATATAGCACTGCAATCAATTAAGAAATTATTATTATTTTAGAGAGGAATAGAAGACTTACAGAGACTTACTGTATTGTCTCGCAAAGAACATTGTTTTAATTAGTATCATATGTTAGAAGACAACATAAATATGTTTTATCGGTAAATATCATGAATATCCTCTAATTATATGTTGTACACAGTTGAATTAACCTGCGGTGGAAATCTTTCCTCTGAGTATGGAAAAGATATATGGATGAACAACTACTTTATTACAATTGGGAGCGACGTTTCGGTGTAGGTTCTAACACCGTTATCAAGTGACCTTTGGCCAGGACTGCAATGTCTTGTTGGTTGAAGTTCTTGCTGCTTAAGTTGATGACCGTCTTGCCGTCTTGATGACCGTCAATGGCAGATGTACTTGTAGGTTGATGGTTGTGGGTGTGTTTCTTGAGGTTATTGAAATTGGTTATGCGAGTCTTTTTTTGTGGCACTTGCTTTTGGTCGGGATCTTTCTGAGGGTGGAGTAGGTGTTTTCTGTAAGAACTGATTGGAGGTAGTTGTGGAGCTTTGTGATGGCATCTAGGGTGGAGGACTTGGTGTTGCGGTGGTGGCGTATCCACTCTATGACGAGGTGTTGCTTGATAACGATGTTAGAACCTACACTGAAACGTCGCTGCTAATTGTAATAACGCAGTTGTTCATCCATATATCTTATCCTTACTTAGTACTCCAACTTCTAAAAGCCTCTTCAAGAAGTCTTTCACCTGTATTCTCAATTGTCGACAATGTCGATGTAAATAGATGATACTATTAATTGTTTCGATGACGTGACGCAAGTTGCATAGACTGCATTATATGACAGAAATTGGTGATTGATTCTTTTTGGAACCTTATAATATTTCAGAAGCAATAGTCTGTACCTGATGTTATTGTAGCAGAGCATGGAGTCATCCTACAGATGACATCCTTACCATGTCAGCTTGCTGACGGGGTTAACCTCTTTGGTCATGTGGACAAGGCGTCCGACCTCGGATCAGAAGGTCCGTGGTTCGAATCCCATCACGGGACTCGGAAATTTTATGGCCGCTACATTTGCGCCCAACGTGGGGCTGAGCACATTCATATTAAATTTGAGCAAAATAAGCCTCAGTACCCTACTATGCGGCCCGGGATGTGCCTTCTGTTGACGGGGGTGTATGTAGCAGGGCGTGGAGTCATCCTACAGATGTCATCCTTACCTTGTCAGCTTGCTGACGAGGTTAACCTCTTTGGTCATGTGGACAAGGCGTCCGACCTCGGATCAGAAGGTCCGTGGTTCGAATCCCATCACGGGACTCGGACATTTTATGGCCGCTACATTATGTACTGATTATCCAAAGTGGAACCGTATCGCCTAATACACCATCACTAATACCAGTTTATAAGTTAACGAAAAACCGTTCAGAAAAAACAGAGATAGCAGGAGGATCGTTGTCCAATAATGACACCGTGGAAAATGTATATCCATTGCGAAGATAATCTGCAAAACAAAGATTATGGAATTGTTTTCACAATCTTTCACGCTTCCATAACAACAGAAATATTTAAGGCACCTCTTTCTTAGCATTATTAGACTGTTTTCAATATATAGCTATGTTACTTGTACATACGGAACCGAACGTGCGCAAATTTTAATCATCCATGTGGAAACAAACAAGAGGGACAATCATCTTTATCGTACACCATCACTCAATATATAAGTTATACCACACAAAATATAACGCGCATCTTCACTCGCTGAAGTAACTTTGAGAATCACGCAATGATACAATAAATACTCTGGGTATTATTTCATGCATCTGTAACATTACAATATATATTCCTGGGTTATATCCATGCTTTTTGTAAACGCAATTTGTTCTATTTCATACATTCTTGGAATAAAACTAAATTTACTTTTACCTTGCTCCAGTGTATATGTTGCAATGCAGCCCTGTTCCCGTTACTGGCGTTGAGAATCCACCGCTCACCAGGTTAGTTTCAGTGTCCGGCTTGACTCAACGATCAAGCTTGGACTTATTTGTTTAAGTTTTAGGACGTGGTCTGCTTTAATTTTCCCTTACCGAACGAATTACTAGATACCATGATTATATTATAATCTGTTGTTTTCTTTTTGCAGAGTACATATTAATCTTGATGGCGTTCATGTACTTGAAAATGAGATACGATAGACACGATGTGGTTTGGTTTGGTTTGTTGTCTAACGCCGCACTCAGCAATATTCCAGTTATATGACGGCGGTCTGTAAATGTAAATAATCGCGTCTGGACCAGACAATCCAGTGATCGATATGATGAGAATCGAGATCATACGACTCAGCAATATTCCAGCTATATGACGGCGGTCTGTAAATAATCGAGTCTGGACCAGACAATCCAGTGATTGACAACATGAGCATCAATCCACGCAATTGGGATTGATGACATGCATCAACCAAGTCAGCGAGCTTGACCACCCGATCCCGTTAGTCGCCTTTTACGGCAAGCATGGGTTGCTAAAGACCTATTCTACCCCGGATCTTCACGGGCAGGATGCATTATGTAGGGAGGGGTAAACTTCCTGTTCGGAATTTGGAATCAGGGTAATTTATTTTCCAGTATGTGCTTCAGATAAGTGGTATTGGAGCGAACACCTGGACTACCTGTACCATGATGCCAAATGATACAGGTATTAAAAGACAACAAGTCTATTGTGTTCCTGAAAAGAACTTTATTCTTACTCAAGCAGCATGTAGCAATTAGGGTGCAATAGAAACCCATGCACAATATATTTAAAGTAAATATATACAAACACGATCATATATTCTATGATAACATTATATTTTTTAAATCCCCAAACTATCATAAACAAAAGCAATATTCAGTATAATTTGACAGAAATGCTTCACACATCTGAACAATAGAATTCCATGTTTAAGGTAGTTTAAAAAATTAACATGCCAAAAATGAAAAAATATTTATACAAATATGTATACAAGTATGTATTAAATTATAATCATTTTCTGTTAAAATAAGAAAATCAGTTCCATCTTACAGTCTGGAGTATCTCCAGGCGATAAAGTATATACAAATTTCAGTACACTTCCTGCATTGTCATGCGTCATGACTACTACATCAGATGTCTTCTCTTACAGACAAATGCCTAATTGTGTCATGTCATATATTATCATGACATATACATATTACATAACTCTTGGATCAAAGGGTTTTCTGTTGTGTTTTACAAACAAATACGACCGTATCCGTGGTCTAAAACAAGGGCTGGTCAGCATACTGTGTCTGCGTGGGGTATTCATGTTAAACTGCGACATAGTATCTCAGTGTGCTAGCACTATAAAATCGGACCGGACTAGTAAAAGCAGCCACACACACACACACACACACACACACGTGTTTGCACGTCGCTATATGGGTGCAATATTTTTCTTGAAGTATCAATATCAATTTAAGATATTTGGAGTTTGTGTTAGGGTTGGGACAGAAAGTACTTTCAAAAGAAAAGAAAGACAAACATTATACAATTTGAATAGTATGGAAGCGTATTCGTGCCACAGTAAAATATCATACAATACGTTAACGTTCACTTACGTAGATGGTACTACTCACACATATAAATATATATATTACAGTATCTTCTACAAAGATGTAAGTATCATCTACGTAGACTACAGTATCTTTTACAAAGATGTAAGTATCATCTACGTAGATTACAGTATCTTCTACAAAGATGTAAGTATCATCTACGTAGATTACAGTATCTTCTACAAAGATGTAAGTATCATCTACGTAGATTACAGTATCTTCTACAAAGATGTAAGTATCATCTACGTAGATTACAGTATCTTCTACAAAGATGTAAGTATCATCTACGTAGACTACAGTATCTTCTACAAACATGTAAGTATCATCTACGTAGACTACAGTATCTTCTACGTAGATGTCAGTACCATCTACGTTCATCGTCTATTTTATTTTAGACTGTGGCACTCATGCACTTCCATAGTTTTGACATCTGCACTTTGAACAGTTTTCATTTCCTCTTGCGGTTACATTTTGACCAGGACATTGTCCCGGAAACTACCAAATAAAAACATCAACTTCATAATAAATCTGGTTAATTGTTGGGTAGTTATTAATTTGGCACACGTTAAATGAAAGTCAGTTAAAGCAAAAACAAAAACAAGGAAACAAAGCTGTATGCACGCTTGCGAATGCTTTCACTTCAATGTGCTGCATGGTTATCTTATTTTCACGAGTCAAAATATCCCCTTTTCCCCCGGTCACGAGGTGAGAGAAACATGACAGTTCACTCGACATATGGAATATCCTATTTATTATATACTTTAGTGTAGTTGTCTACCAGGAAATTAAATTATTTCATAACAAATGTAAAACCTTCAAACGTAAATTCTCCCTACCTAACCATGGGCGGAAAAGTGGGGGTGCACAATTAAGATCTATTTATTGTCTTTGGTGGTAATTTGTACAGATAAAGATTTTTTTCGAAATAACCCTGGATTGCTTGGATTGATGCTCATGATATCAATCACTGGATTGTCTGGTCAAGACTCGATTATTTACAGACCGCCGTCATATAGCTGGAATATTTCTGAGTGCGGCGTAAAACAACAAACCAGCCAACCAACTAAAAGCACATATATTCATCATTAAAATTAAATGAGGCTCTTTTTTAATCTTTACATTTCAAGCATGCACTGGTTACTCTATGTTTTGCTGTTGGTGGTAAGATATCTGACACTGGTATTTGACAGATCACAATGTTCTTCAATGAAAATGATTGAATCAGTCTTTTCAGTCATATGTTGGATTTGCTCAGACATCCTTACACCAGCGTCACACTCGTTCTGGACCGAATCACACCAGAAGACACTCTCCGCCTCAGGAAGCGCTGATGCACCCAATACAGCAGG